TTTGGACACTGTATGTTGGGCAGGTAGGACAGCTGGTTGAGAACGATGTGTGTGGATGATTTCGTCTACATATCCATATGATGAAATCTATATATTATCAACACAAAAAGGCATGTTTGTTGTTTAAAATAGGGCCTTTCCATTTCAGGGTCCAGTTTTACCTTTGTGTCCAGGGAAGCTCAGTGATTTTATTAATTGAACTGGAGTTTATTACATGAGAAGCAGGACACTGAAATGCAGCTTGTTTTTCCTGGTGTGGGCTGGCAGTGCCAGTAAGATCCAAAATCTAACTGTCTTCTGTAGTAATACTACGTAATGGCTGAACCCAAAATCTGCTTTTCTGACCTACACAGCCAATGTCTACTAGCATTTATTCTTTTAGTCCTGTTGGGATAAAAATGAAGTTGAAGGTATAGCCACAAAATCCATTAGGCTCTCTTGGGATTTATCTGTCAACAGCTTCATCTCCTAAACTTCTGTGAAGCATACAGTGTCCTTGACTAAGAAATGTGTTTTCCCATGTGTTGTGTAAACATCTGTGGATGTTAAAGGCATAATGCCAGACACATCTGTGTTCATAGATGCTGCTGATAAACCAAGGGCTGCCCTGGATAACGATTTGACCTAGTATGAAGTTCATTTGGAATTATTTGTTTCTTATTTTAGGGAATTAAAAACATTTTTTTGTATTGTTTTTATCTCTTTGCATTCCTTTTGGGAGGGGGCGCGCAGGTATCAGGGATCAAATTTGGGTCCTTGTGCTTGTGAGGCAGGCAGCAGAACCACTGAGCTAAATCCCAGGCCCCGACTCTTAGCATTTTTATTGGTCATTTTGTGACTGAACTAATAAGGTTCCTGATATGGTCACACACATTGTCAGTTTCCTTTATAGACATAACCTCTGTGTAGATAAGAATCCTGTCTTGTCTGTGTGACTTCCATAGATCTTAGCAAAGCTGAAATCCAGAATCCATTGCCCTGTAATGGCTCATATAAATATAAATACCATACTTATATGATAGTGTAAAGAGTAAAGATAGGCAGGGAATTTAGCTCAGTAGTTTTCAGCCTGCCTCACAAGCACAAGGTCCTGAGTTCAATCCCTGGTACAAAAAAACAAACGAGTAAGGAAAAGACAATGTTTTCAAATATCCCTTTGATTCTAGTCTCCAGTTACCATAGAAAAACATGAGTTAAATACTTAGTTTTTCTTTCTTCACTCATTTGGGTTGTCTTTTAAAATGGATGACTTAGTTTCCTAGTCTGAGATGATCTAGGAAGGATTCCAAACATATGCTGTTAGATTTAAGTAACTTGTACTTGGATGCAAACATGTAATCCAAATATTCAAGAGTTACTTACTCTTGTGTGTCTACCTATTCTTTGGGAGGTGGATCTCTCTTAGATAAAATACTTCAGCGGGTTTTTTTCTTTTTGAGACATGGTCTCACTTGGTAGTTCAGGCTGGTCTTGAACTCACTGTGTAGCCCAGGCTGGCCTCAAACTGAAGATGCAGTGTTCCTGCCTTAGCCTCCTGGATGCTGGGATTACAGGTGTGTACAACCTCACCCAGTGCTAGCAGATTTCTGAGACAGTAGTGTACTTTGGGTGTGCTAGATTCTAGGAACTGTCTGTCTTGTCCACCTTTAAATGAAGTGCTTTGAGGCTCTTAGCATCTGTAGGTAAGTAGCAAACCTAGATTCCCACCCCTCCCCTACTCCCACCCCCATTCCTAGCCATCTTATTCAGGCGCTAAGAATCTCTGACATCTCATTCTGGAATGATTACATAAGAAAAGTTTCCTCCATAAACTTCACAATTTACATTAATAAAAATACTTTTTTCTTGGCCTTAGGAAAATCAGGTAGTAAATAGGCAATTCTTAATGTAACAAAATAAACTTAACAATATTTAATCGGTGTTTATTATAAAAAGAAAACAGGAAGCTGATGAAAAACATTAAAATCACTGTTATTCTACCACTCATGATTAAATCACAGAAACTCTTAGATATATAACTTGTAGTGTATTTTTTCTTCCAAAAACATGTTGTATATGATTTTGTATGCTGCGTTACAGAATAAAATTGAACCATGCATATGTTTTCCTTGTACATGATTTTTATTGGCTGTGTAACAACTGTTATGTAATCTAGATTGTCCTTACATTAAGTAATCTTGATAATCCTTAGATTTCTAGTGAGTTTTGTTGGTGGATTGCTTGACTTACAAGTTTGTATAAAGTGATTTTCTTTAGAACAACAACATGGCTTTTTACATGCTAGGCAAGCATTCTGTAACTGAGCCCCTGAGAAATATTATAAATGATTTATTCCTAGACTGGCTCCTCAAATCCTAAGTGATAGCTAAGGTGCATTGCCAGACATAAGCTGTTCCGGTGTTTAAAACTTTGGATCTGCTTATCATGTTATTTCTCTGGAAATGTCTGCAGTCAAGGCAGCACCTGACAGTACCGGCGGTGTAGTGGGAACCCCTCAGTGCCCACAGATTGAACATATAGTGTTCACCTGGCACACCATGAAAAGAGAGGTGGGTGGACGGCCCAGGAGGCAGGATTCCCTCATGGTCAGTAGCAACTTCATAAAGACTCTGCCCCAGAACCTTTCTTACCTGTGACAAATTTGGAGCAAAAGAATAGGCAAAACATAAAAACAAAACAAAAAATAAAAGCAACTTTGTTTACATTTCTAGACTATTCCACCACACAGTTGTTCCAAATGCACATAGAACATTTAGCATGTTCTGTGCAATAAAGCAAGGAATAGGACAGATTTTGAAAGTTAAGCATATATCTACCATATGAAACCATTCTCCATGTAAATATCCAGAAATAAAACATACAGCCATACAAAGTCCATAGTGAATGTTTGTACCTGTTTATAAAATCTCAAAATTAGAAATGTTAAATGTATGTCAGCAGTGCAATGAATAACAAATTGGTATATCCATGCAACAGAATACTTCTCAGTAATAAAATATAATATACCATGAATCCATTTAATAATACGAATAAATTTCATTTTAGGTTACATGAAAGAATCCAGACAAAATGAATACATACTCGGATTCCATGTATGTAAACTTCTAGAACATGCGTACTAATCTTCAGTGACAAAAAGGACCAGTGATTGCCTAGGTTTGGGCCATGTAGGACACTTTGGGAAGAAGGATTATAGGGAATGAGGAAACTTTTGGAGAGGATGGATTATCTTTGTTTTTCTTTTGTTTTGGTTATGGGAATCGGAACTCAGGACCGTGTGTTTGCGAGGCAGGTAGCGCTGGAACCATTGAGCTAAATCCCCAGCCTGTTGATGGGTATCTTAATGATGATGATTTTACAGGTTAGTCATACATCAAAACACATCAAAATTGTATACTTTGAAGGTATACGTTTGTTGTATATCAATTATACTATCAGTAAAGCTGTTTAAACAATAAAGCAGCAGAATTCTGACATTACTGTGTACTGTAGAAGGTCCTTCCCTCCTGATTTGTGCTTCTGTACAAGTGGAATCAGTGGAAAGTGTTAGGAATCTGGGAAAGATTCTTCCTGTTTCTCACTGTAGAATTTTCAGTTAGTTAATTAACTTTGAGATAGGGTTTTGCTGTGTAGCTCATGATGGTCCTGAAATTGCTGTGTTTCTCAGGCTGGCCTTAAACTCTGATCCTCATGCTGTAGTTTATTGACTCCTGGGAATACAGGCATGCACAACCACATCTGCCTGGGAAAAACATTTATATTTAGCATGATTAACAGTTGAGTGTTATATTTTTCTCTAAAAGGCAGCATGTTATCTTCTAATGAAGAGGTCAGTCACAGTGTATCAACTTGAATAGAGGAATAGAAAGTGGTAATTTCAGTTCAGTGGCTCCTCCTTACCTGTTGAATCAAGACTGGATTTCTGAGGTGGTCTTTTGATGTGCCCTGTGGCTTGCCTCCAAATTCTCTGTTGTCTTGCTTCACCTTGTCCCCAGAGTGCTGTGTGTTTTCCTGTACATCACTGCGTAGTCCTTTTCATTGCCTGTGGTTCTTACCCAGCTCACCTCACCTTCATCTTCCTCAGGTAAAATCCTATCTGTCATTTAAGTTTCCATTTAGATACTAATATGCTTTCTCTGGTGCTGTGTATGTCATCTGTATTCTGTGTGTTAGTAGAAGTTTGTGCCCTGTGCCTTGCACATATGATGTCTTGAATGATTTTTACCAGTGCCATCTAGCATGTACCTTGTATATAATGAGCATCTGTGTTGGTTGTGCAATAGGAGAGCACAATGGTAAAAGCAATCAGTACGAAAACTAAGCAAGGTCAGTTATACAGTTTGGTGTCTATTTAAATGTGCTAGATTACTAATTGTACCTTTACATTTATTTATTTTTCTTTATTTTTATTATTACACATTCCTACTATATAATAACATTCATTGGGGGGAATTGGTACAGGTATATAACATATCTTACTCTTTTTATATTTGTTTTCCCTCTTTCCTCTCTGTATCTTGGTTCCCTACCCTTTTGTAAAGATTCTTTTTTCCCTATTTCCTATTCTCCTTTTATTAAATTTATTGTAATTAGTGTCATTGAGGGGAGCAGTAGCAAGATGACCAGGGGAAACCAAAATTTTACTTTGTTTTTGAAGCCTGTTGTGTGATCATTTGGTTAGAGCAGAGGAGTCGTATATTATGAAACCTCCCCACAATCCCAGACTTTAGAAATGGGCAGTGGCTGGATGGGAAAGGGAGAAGTTCCTATAGCTTTAACTTAGCTGGACATAATTCACTCTGAGTACATAGAGAAATAACTGTGAGAGTCAGAGTTAATCGAATGGTGTCTTAACATTGACTATTCATTGTGCCATGGGACGACCACAAACTTGATAAGAGTCATGCATATTTGGAGAAATATGATTTTGAGATTTCAAGTGAGCTGTAGACTCTGTATTGTACAAACCGTTGCTCACTTCTTCAATTTTGTTTTTCCAGGTCCGGACCCTATTTGTCAGTGGTCTTCCTCTGGATATCAAACCTCGGGAGCTCTATTTACTTTTCAGACCATTTAAGGTATGTTTTCTGTCTTTTAGAAATTATAGGAGATACAAAAGACTATCTACTGCATAATTCATGAGGGCTATTTAAATGAAGGGGAAAAAAAGTTTAACAAAACACCCAGTAAAGAGAGAGAGAGAGAGATTTAGGGCCTGAGATTTGGCTCAGTGGTTCCACTGCCTGCCTCGCAAGCACAAGGACCCGAGTTTGATCCCTGGTGCCAGAAAAAAAAAAAAAAAGATTTAAAAAGACTAATGACTAAAGGATCAACTGAATTCTTGTATACAGTTTCTAGACAGTTGATCAAAACTGCCTTAGTCCTTCAACAACTAATCTAAAGCAGTGTTGGCCGATGTGGATCTGGATGAGATGGGAACACACCAGTGTGTGCAGCGCTAGTGCTCTCCGTCCTATGCAGAAGATCCTTAGTGATCTCACATTTCTGCTCCAGGTGTAGTGTGCACTCCTAAGTAGAGATCATGAAAAAGTTATAAATTAATTTTAATGTAGTCAAGCTCTATCTGTATGTGGTTTCCTTATTAGTTGCAATAATACTCTTGGTACTCTTCTTTGGAGAAGTGTAGGCTTTTATGAGTTGGATTAAGAACCTGACACTGTTATTTTTTTCTACTGCCAAAACCCTTAAGTTTCAAACATCCGTCAAACAAGATTTTACCAGGGTACTTTTGTATGACTCAAGGGATCTTTTTGCTGGTATTTAGTGAAATATTTAATGTATTTGCCTGTCTTTCCTTACTATAGAAATAAAATCACTTCAGAGATGCTTAATGTTGCTAGAATTGAAACCTTAACAGGAAGTTGGGCTAGGGCTGAAATAACTGTGGTGCCAAGAAGAAACCTTAAAGGTTTGCCTTTGGAGGTTAAGAGGAAGCTGGACCTCATCAGAACATGGGCCTGGAAGACATCATGAATTCAGGGCCCATGTCCATGAGGTCTGAGTTTTGAACATTGTGTGTCTGCTGCAGTGCCTGGCAGTGCCCACTCTTAGATTAGATGATCGACAATCTTGGTTTCTCGTTAAAGATCCATCCTGGTTGAGGCAGACAGATTGAAGGGCTGAAAATAACATTTGGGTTAGAAATGAGGAAAGGAGATTGCCGAAACAGCCAGGTTCACCTCAAGTCCAGTTTATGTGCCGGTAAGCACCGTTGTAATAATGGGCATAACGCCATCTTGACAGCCACAGCAAAATATAAAAATCCTCATGACAGCATGGGAGGCAACAGAAAGGCTTGGTACAAGGCTGACTAGTAAAGAAGAGAAGGTGGTGTTGAGAGAGTGCTGACTTTATAGAATTTCCTGAGCTGCTTCTGCAGGGCTGCAGTTTTATAAAGTGGACAGCTTTCTCTATAGAATGAAATACTTTTTTTTCTTTTTAATCTTCTCTGTATCCTTCTAATTTTAGTATATGTGCTGCCAAAGCGAGCACAAAAATGAAATCTTTTAAGGTAATTGATCTTCCTGACAAAAAATGCTATTAGTTATATTATAGGGGGATGCATTTCCACAAAATGCAACATTGAGGAAAAGATGAGGATTTCATTAGCTAGCCCCTTGTATGAATTATCTCATTTAATTATCACAGTTGTTTAAAGTGGTTTCACCCTCTTTTTTCAAAGGACAAAAATGTAACGGTGCAGTTGAATTACTTATGCTTAAGTTTATACACATACTAAATGGCAGGGTCAGGAAACAAATGTTTGACTCTGTTCATGTTCTAAAGTATAAAGCTATAGTGTGCCTTTGTAACTTTAGAACACAGTATATCCCTACCCGTGATATTTTAGTTGAGTGAAATATCCCTTTATACTTTGCCTCCAAGCCTTCAAAGTGTTTAAACTGCCAAGGTTTTTAGGAGAGAGCCCCTTGATGAAAGGAAGGGCCAGGACTGAATCACGACCACTCATGAGAGCTCAAGGCCCTGGAGGTAAAATATTTATAGTAGCTAATTGGTAATGGAGTTTTTAGCTGGGAAGATGTGAGAATGAATCACTCCCAACATCTCTATATCCTGCTGAGATCAACTCTAAAGTCAGGACCTTGGTACCTTCCTAACAATCCTCTTGAATTAAAGTCCCTGGCCTGCAAATCTGACTCTGCTCTGTGGCGTGCAGTACAATCAGTCATGTCAAGTGGTTTTCTTTCCCTGTGGTATCATACATCAGTGCAAGCCACCAGCCATTTTTTGTGTCGAGAGATAAACACACCTTGGTGTACTCTTATCCTGAGGAACCAGAGTTGGGGGCGGGGAGAAGAGAGGTAAGGAAAGTAAGGGATACTTTCATCTCCTTTGAGGATAAACTAGAGTAGAAATCCAACAGGGTAGTTTTCATGTTGAAATCAGAATACCACATTGCAAACTGGCTGCTTCATTGAGTAAGCAGAACTCAACAAAATGCAGTCTCATTGCCTGCTTGGCATTTTCTCATGGTTTTAAAGTTTCGGATAATAAATCATACCTTGTATATGCTTACTGTTTGATTGTTATATATGTGACCAAGTCAAACATGTTCATTGACCCATCTTATTAAAATATTACCCCCTCTGTCTCCTTGTTTTATAACATCTCTACTTTTATTTAGACCAAGAAAACAAAAAAGATCTGTTGATAAATTCCCATTTTCCTGCCACTGTATAATTTCATGAAAAAATGCAAGAGAATAGAAATGTAGATAAATGCACGAATCTCCATGTACCCAAGTAGGGATGTGCATGTTTGTGTGTGTAAGTGATTTGCTCTACCAGCTTACTTTTAACACATTAATCAGAATTAGTAACGATAAACGGCTTATTTTCATGTGAGCAGGATGATGTTAATTGGTCCCCCCCCACTTTTTGGTTTCGGCTAAACTTGGTTGTTCTTTAATTTCAGGGCTATGAGGGCTCTCTTATAAAGCTCACGTCTAAGCAGGTAAGAATTCCAAAATTTTGTGTAAGTGATCACTTTTGTAATTTTCCTCAGGAGTGTTGATGAGACTTAACTTTTTTATTCCAATTAGAATTTAATTTTTTTTTGTCTTTAATAATTTAAAGGCAACCTTGACTAGTAAATTAGCACAGGAAAATTTGTAGTTCTGTAATCTCTAGTTAGGATGTTTAGGAGGTAGTAATCAGTGTCTTTAGTAGTTCCTACAGGCTTCTTGGATTACCTGTATGCTTTTTTCTTTTTTCTTAAACTGAACCCTTGACAATCACCTATCTCTGATTCATCAGAATTAAGCTATTTTACAGAGAGCCTCCTGGACTGAAAGATAAGTCCAAAGGGATAAGTACTCCTGTTTACTTGCAACGATATGGTTTACATGTCTGGTTAAACACAGTATTTTTAAAAGGCATCTCTTAGGATCTGAGATGGAAATTTTCACATGTAATTTGGTCATGCAGTGAGAAAACAGGGTTTTATCATTGTGTCATTATATTCCTTGCACTTACAGTGTACCAAAAGGTGATTTGGTTCTCTTTTCATTTTAAAAGATGAAGAAACTGAGGTACAGTGAATTTGATTTAGGAAAGTAGAACCTTTCCAACCCAAATTTTCCTCTATCACCTTATTCACTGCTGCTCACCTCCCAGCCACCTCTAGATTTTTTTTTTTTTTGATTCTCTAAATCCCTGGCTATGTCCTTGAAAGACCACCCTCACCATCCCTTTGATTCATGTTAAAAATTTGGCTAAGCCACTGAGTCATGATTCTTTGGTACTGCCTTTCTTTTTCTACCCATCACCTGTGGTCATTTCTTTATCTTAGCTCTTCAGTTTGACATCACCTTTGGTGGATATTTGGTGATTTTTTTTTTCTTCATGTTTCTCTTTCTTTCCTTAGCCCGTAGGTTTTGTCAGTTTTGACAGTCGCTCAGAAGCAGAAGCTGCAAAAAATGCTTTGAATGTAAGTATACACTAATGATAGAATCTAGGGGGTTTCCTTAGGATGTCATGGGAAGTAGTAAGAACCAACTTCTTTGGATCGGAAATGAAACGTGACTGCTTAATTTTATAGGAAAGATTCAGCAGCTTCATTAGTACTCTAAAGAGCTTTTTCCATGGTTTTCATTGGCTTTTACTGAAATGTTTAAACACAAATTGATGATGCAGGTCTTAGCCCAAGTACAGCCCGTGGTGAATCCCGCGGCTTGTCATCTCCAGTGGAGATCACAGGGAGGGGAGCCTTTCCAGCATTGTCCTCTTGAACGTCTAAGCCAAGAACGCCTCAAAATCTTGGCTTTTCTTATTGCACAAAGGTTTTCAAAAGGCATGTGGCTCTTTTTTTTTAACAGATCATACTCTTTATTCTGAGTGTTAAGCATTTTTATTTAAGGCGTTCCCCATACATTCAGCATTGTAATATAATAAATTGTAGTTGGTTGTAATTGAGTAGAGATAATTGTGTGTGTTCTGTCCATCATGTGTTTGGTGGCTTTTTTCAGCACTAGTTCAGTAAATATCTTCCCCCTCTGCTATGTTGAAAATCAAAACCACTTAAGGAAAGGTGGAAGGAAGCAGAATCTAGTCCCAGTGGTTGCTCTCAGGTGAGAAGCCACAGCAAAGCCTGGCTCTAGAGTACTGGAGGCAGTTGGCGTAAGCAGCTGTGAATAAATGTTGATTAAAGCAAGTTGGAGTGTCCAGGTTGCTTCCTAAAGGGCAAATGTCCATTTGACCATTTGCAATACAAGTGCATTGTGTATGCTTTTGGCAAGTTATGACTAGTTTTTGTGTTACCTGCAAGTGTCCCTGCCTGCTGCTGCTTTGAGCAGAGTAGGTAAAGAGGGTTGTTAGAGGCTTGATATTTTGATGACTTGGAGGCTAAAGGGAAAGCCTTTATATGAGTTTTTATTCAGCATAATGGTGTCATTATAACCCAATCTTGAAAAACAGTATATAATCTTAGAAGAAATGGAATAAACACTTTTCATGTAAATCACATAGGAACCACCTCAGGACTCAAGGATTCCCCTCTTCATTTGGGTAAATGACTTCTGGTCAAAATAACCGCATTCTTGTACAGAAGAAAGTGTAAACTGCTTTTTTATCAAGTGATAGCACACAGAAAGTCACAGTGTACAATTGAATGTTTTCATATAAAAAAATATTTTATGGTCCGAGGTTATAACTCATTGGTAAGAGTGTTTGCCCTAGTATGGACAAAATCCTGGATTTGATTCTCATCTCCTCAAAAGAAAACCCCCCAAAAAATAGTTTATGATTTTTACATTGGATGGACACAACCAGGATTTTCTCAGTATATCCCAATTTTAAACTTAAAACCACAAATTAGTTATGTTTAGGCAGTGTGTTCTTTATTCTAATCAGGTCGATAGCTTTCTAAATGTAGAACTCTTCTTTCTGGGTGCTTGCAACTCATAACCTCTGTCACCTCATGAGGAACACTCTCTCATTTCCTTGGAGGTGCTTTGATTTTTTTTTTTAAACAATTAACTGAAGTTTATTGCTTTAATGTTTTTAAATGATAATCAAAAACTGTTTCCTTTCTAAATAGAATACATTTTAAGTGGAGTACAGGAAGCAGAATTTCAGTTTTCTTGGTGCTTGACGGTAATGTGCAATAGAGGTTTTTAAGCCCTTTTGCCCGTCTGCCATGTACTCGAGTCACCATTGTATGGGCCTTGGTCTGGTTGTACGATGTTCTTTCCCTTGTGCTCTGCTCCCCCTTCATCTCACTGGCAGCAACTGTTGCTCCTTAGTGGTATCCTCTCCCTTATCATTAATGTTGCCTCCTACTTGAGAAGAACCCCAAATAAAAGAAGTCTAATTCTGTTCTGTTCTGTTCGTCTCTGGAAACTTCTTCATATTTCATTATGGAGTAATTAACGCGTGCTTTCACCTTCTCAGGAATGGATTGGGAATGTTCTCCTGGCTAATCTTTTGGCATTTTTAATTCATATACAATGTATTGCAGGTTGTGTGTACCTTTAAAGTCCCCCAATTATTACAATTAGGGAAACAGACCCCAGCAAGTGTGGGTGGGAATGCAGCCAGGAGTCATCTCCAAGTGAGCCTCTCATCTCATGGTCTGAATGCTTTATACAGTATCTTGTCACTTGCGCTGTCCACAGAGTAGTGCTCCCTGTGGCAGTAACAGACTGTAAAATTCACATCATCCAGGACAAATGGCCATGATAAGGTCTGAGATGTGATTATGGAGCAGTTCCTCTCTGCAGAGAACATGGGCCCATTCAAAGTAACACACTTAATCATGAAGTTAACAATGTATTCTCCTGTGACTGGGCATACTAGGCTCTTTTCAGACTCAACTTTTGAACTGATGAGTTAAAAACATACGTTCAGAACCACTACAGAATTTTTTCTTGTCATTTGTTCAGGCTTCTCTTGAAAGCTTTTCCAGGAATTCCTTTTGGGAGAGTGCACTGTTGTAATGTTTTGTTTGGTTCCACTATTGAGAAACTTAAGGCTCAATCCTGAAAATCTATATAGAATGGTTCACAGTGGTTGGAACTGCTTGTCCATGTTTGGGGATTTTTTTCTTGTTGGTATTCTCTGTGTTACTTTTTGGTTCAGTTGTTAGTGTTAATTTGTCTTTTCCCAGAATAATTGATTTTTCAATCCATTAAATATTTTTGTTTTGTTTTGGCCAGTTTAAGACTGCTTTAGTTACTTTCGTAGTATTTTGGAAAGACCTGTTAGGTTGAATTAAGTTTTAATACTGAACTTTTCTCTAGGCATTACTCAAACCAAGTAAATATAATTTGTTTTGTTTTTATAGTCCAGTGTCCAAAGTTAGGCTAATAATAGCCCAAACCCCAGACTTGCCTTCAGGTTGTTTGTAGTCTCATAAATCCACATGATTAGAAATCCTATCCATTCTTTAACTTGAGAGCAAAGTATCACATTTATAATTTATATACAGTCAGTGCTATAATTTCTCCTTCCATGGAAGACACAGCTGATAACCTAACAGATCAAATTACCTTTTTTTTTTTTTTTTTTTGTACTGGGGATTGAACTTGGGACCTTGCATTGTGAGGCAGGCGGTGGAACCACTGAACTAAAACCCGGGCCCCAGATCAGTTTACTTTGAAGGTTTATAATATTGAAAGGTAAATCAAATATAGTGATACCTGAAGTTAGCTTGGTTTACCAAGAATTCTGATTTATGAAAATGGTAAAAAGTTTAAAAAGCAGAGCAAGTCCAAACATAAAAGACCATGAACAGATGGTAGAATAATACATTTCTGGATATTTGCACCAATTGTGAGGACCCCATTAATTAGAAGAAATTTTGTTTTAATGATTAAGAGTGATTTACATCTAACATTTCAGATCACAGACTTCAATATGATCACGCTTATGAATAGCTCTATAACAGACTTTCTCTTACACTCAAAATTGGCTGTCCAAAGAACTTTGAGAGGTTACAGACTCAGGTACACTGCACTTGCCTCTGAAACTACACATTGCTTAAACTAATGCAATAATTTGCCTTACACTCAAGCTGTATACTTACTGATCAAAGTGATGTGTAATTATCAGTATATTTTTTTTAAAGGAGCTTTATTAAGATACAGTTCATGTACCATACAATTTCCCCCCTTTAAAGTTAAAGTTCAGTGTGTTTGGTATAGTATGTTACTTTTTTTTTTTTTTTTTTTTTTTTTTTTTTTGGTTTTTTGAGACAAGGTCTCACTACATAGTTGAGACTGACCTGGAACTCACTATGTAGCCCAGGCTGGTCTCCAACTCACAACAATCCTCCTGCCTCAGCCTTCCCGAGTTCTGGGATTACAGGTGTGCGCCACCACACCCGGCCTGTTACTTTTAAATTCTGGGGAAATATGTGTTAAAAAATTGCCATGTTGGTAGTTTTTAGGTAACAATTCAGTACCATTAATCATATTCATCATGTTGTGCAATCATTACCACTAGCTATTTGTAAAACATTTTCATTAACCCAAGTAAAATTTCTGTAGCCATTGAGTAATGCCTCCTTAATCCACCTTCCCCCTAGTCCCTGGTAACCCCTAACCCACTTTCTGTCTCTTGTAAATTTGCCTATTCTAAATATTAAAATGTCTGTTTTTTGTTTCTTCTCTTTCTTAGCGTAATGATTTGACAGCCATCCATGTTTTGGCGTTTAGCAGAATATAAAAATTTTTTTCCACAGCCTCATAGCTTACCCTGTATCCTCAGCCCTGTCATTCTTTTTTATGGATATACGTGCAGTATTTTGTTTGTGCTTTCCTCCATTGGCTGTTGTGAATAATGCTGCAGTGAACATTGGTTTGCAGTGTCTTGACCCCATTCTCAATTACTTTGGTTATGTATGGAGGAATTTCTGGTTAATGTGATCGTCATACATGTAGCGTTATGGATTCCATAACTGTTGTACCATTTTACATTCTCACAAACATTATGTGAGGGGATTCCAGTTTCTCTCTGTCCTTACTAATCTTGTTTTCTGATTTTAAAGAAATTATAATTATTCTAAATGTGAAATTCTTATAAGATGATTGATAAATGATTTTTAACTTATTGCAATGGTGGATTTGAGTTCTTTTGGAATCCTACATGACTTAAAATGTTTAACAACAGTTTTAAATAATGGGATTAATTAATAGAACTGTGTTACCCATTATCAGTTTGTTTTTTCTATTAGTAGATAACAGAAGGGGAAAGCCCAACCCTTGGATGATTCATTTAATAAGATGTGACAAGGGCTGGGGATTTAGCTCAGTGGTTCTGCTGCCTGCCTCACAAGCACCGAACCTGAGTTCGATCCCCAGTACCAAAAAAAAACTAATAAGATGTGACATAAATAAATTTTTTCAAGGACTACATAGATTGTGGAATGAAAAGAAGTTTTGTTGTGAAGAAAAATGTGGCTGTCATTCAAACTTCCAAAGAAATCAAGGC